GAGAGAGAGAGAGAGAGAGAGAGAGAGAGAGAGAGAGAGAGAGAGAGAGAGGCCTGGGGCCAGCTAGCCAGCCAGCAATAGAGGTCACGGGAAAAGTAGGACATACAGAATGAAGGAAAAGTAAAAAGTCCCCAGGCAAACTGTAGCTGAAGAGAAACAGGTTGAATTAAGTTATAAGAGCTAATGGGACAAGCATAAGATAAGGCCGAGCAGTCATAATTAGTAACAAGTCTCCATGTCATGACTTGGGGGCTGGGGGTCTGAGAAAGCCTGCTATAACTGGAGACCTGTGCTCACAGACAGCTCTACACAGAGACAGGTTGGCCCTCTGGGCCAATGTTTTGATGCTCAGTCATGGTGAACATGTACTTGGGTACCTGGCCTTGGGGCTGGGTCAGCAGTTCTTCTGCCCGTGTGCAAACTGGTTACCAAGGCTTGAGAATAAGAAGTTTGCCCAAATGAGGGGCAGGGCCAGAGCCCAGGCTTACAGGGCCACAGGAGTCCTCAAGTTTGCTACCCTTGGTCCTAGGCTCAACCCCACATCTTACCCACTCTTGGCAAAGTTGGTCCAGTAGGCAATCATGGCCTTGGAGACACTCCTTTCTTGGGCCCGGTAGCCCAGTGGAGTGGCGAAGGGTTTTCCAAAGACATACTGGAGGTCATCGGCATGGTCAGCCCCCATCCATTTGGGGTAGATGGGCATCCGTGAAGGGTGGGAAAACAGGTAAGAGTAGGTATTGGCACTCCTGAGGGTAACAGAAACAGATAGGTTGGGGGGAGGCTCCATTGGGTGGTAGGCCCTGGAGAGAGGCCAGGAGGAGCAGGGCAGGGACTGATGGACCCCCAAGTCTCACAAATTGGGGTATGTTTGTTTGAGACAGGGTCTCTTTATGTGGCTTTGGCTAACCTGGAATTTACTATGTAGACCAGACTGGCTTTGAACTCAGAGGTCTGCCTCCTGAGTGCTGGGATTAAAAGTGTGTGCTACTGTGCCCAGTTCTCAACTGGAGTTTTTGATGCCCAGGGAAAGAAAAGCTGCAGCCATGTTCACGGATCTGCACTTTCATGGTTCATGTCTCCACTCTGCAAAATATTCAGAGGGCTCTTCCCATAATTCAAGGTTAAGGATTTTGTTTCTCCCCGTCTGAATTCATATGTCTCACATGATTGGACAAGGTATATGCCTCAATTACCTGTTTAATCTTGACGGATGTGTAGCCCAGAGCTAAATTCATTGCTCAGTTAGCCAAGAGGCCTTGGTCAAAAGCCACAGCGGCCTAAGCAGCCCTCTCTCAAGAGCCTCCCCCACACACCCCTTCCCAGAACCTCACTTGGCATGGGCTCTGTGCTGGGCCAGAGCCATCTCCGTGGGGATCAGGAAGAGGGCGTCAGTCTCAAAGGCCACCACTGTCTTCTTCTTATTCTCCTGGGATGGGTCCTGGGCCCAGGACTCGGTGTAGATGCCAAAGGTGGCTTGGGCACCCTTAAGCCCCTTTTTGACAGTGCTTCCACTGACTAGCCTGTAGAAGTCCTCCCTGCACAGGGATGGGGGAAACAGACACTGGACCTGCTGCTGCTGGTGGCAGGAGCATGTCTGTCTGCCCTTACCCCAACACAGCACCCACCTCCTCACACTCACCCTGTTAAGCATCCCTGCCTCCTCCCCCCACCGCGGGGCTAGCCTCCCCCTCCCCAAGCAATGCCTGTTCCTTCCCAGGTATTATCAGGTGCATGCTGCCCTCCCTTGCTCACTCTGTGATATCCTGTTTGGACTTATCGATGGCTGGCATGTCAACAGTAGCAAAGAGGTGGCCGTCCATGTCGTTAGTGCCAGCCAGGTAGTCAATGTCAGCGGCATTGGCATACAGATTGATGGGGTCATCAGGGATGAAGTCTCCATCGACAACAGGGGTGAAGCCCAGGTAATACCAAATGGGGTCTGAGTGGGAGAGCCAACAGATCCTTATACTTTTTTTATTTTTTTATTTTTTATTTTCGAGACAGGGTTTCTTTGTAGTTTTTGGTGCCTGTCCTGGAACTAGCTCTTATAGACCAGGCTGGCCTCGAACTCACAGAGATCCAACTGCCTATGCCTCCCGAGTGCTGGGATTAAAGGCCTGCGCCGCCACTGCCCGGCTAGATCCTTATACTTTTAAATGCCTGCCGGGTCCTTCTCTTGACCTTTTGTACTAAGCTTGACCTCTTTCTTCCTTTATCTGACCAGACCAGGCAGGGTTCCTTAGCCCCAGCCTCAGGGACTTTTTGGGCTACTGTCAGCTTGTGATAGGGATGAGTGTCCTATGTGTAGGCTGTCGAACTTGTCCCTAGCCTAACATGCTCGACATCAGTGGTACCCTTCCCTGGTTGTGATAGGTAAGAACGTCCCCAGACTTTGTCTCATGACCATGGGGAGAGTCCACTGCTCCACAGGCCGGCGCTGTCTGCTCTCCTGCTTCAGTGTCCCTGTCCCCTCCCTCTTTCCTTGTTGAACCTACACCAGAGAAGAGGTTCTAGTCTGCTGGCCACCGTGTATGAGGTCTGCCTGCCCTCTAGGCTTGCCAGTTGACCTGTGCACTGGCTCAGCTAGGAGACCCTGGCTGTCCTTGGGCCCAGCACAGTGAGGCTTCCTTCAGTGGCTCCCCAAACAAAATAGTTGGTTTGAGCGGCAGGGGTGCTCACAGGTCAAGCTTTTGCCTATCACGCATAGGCTCAGAGTTTGCTCTATGATACAAGAGGGCAAGAGGAACCAAGGGCACAAACACTAAGACCGCTGGACTTCGCTTTAGAAAAATAAGCAAAGAAAACAAATTCCATCTCCTAGGCTGACAGGTTGCTTCTTCATGTTTGCTGGTAGCAGCTCCAGCTAGAAGGCCCAAACACCACAGGGGGCATTTGGAAATTTGCAAATGATTGACACATTAACAAGGAAGGTAGACAGGCCCTGGGTCTGGGTCCACACATCTTCCTGAAACTATGTATGGGTTCATGCTATCATGTTTATCCTTCCTCCCTTTCTTCCTTTTTTTAAAAATAAGATTTATTTATTTATTTATTTATTATGTATTCAAAGTGTTCTGCCTGCACGTATCCCTGAAGGCCAGAAGAGGGCACCAGATATCATTACAGATGATTGTAAACACATGTGGGTGCTGGGAATTGAACTCAGGACCTCTGGAAGAGCAGGCAAAGCTCTTAACCACTGAGCCATCTCTCCAGCCCTCTTTATTCTTTTTTATTTATTTTTAGACAGGGAGTCTTACTATGTGACTCTGGCTGGCCTCTCACTGTGTAGACCAGACTACTGGGATTAAGGTATACGCCACCACACCTGGCCGTGTTTGGCTTATTAAATGTCTCTGGAGGAGTGGAAGAAAGATCAGTATAAGCGCCCCCCCCCTTTACCACTGGGGCCTGCTAGAGGGAAGTGGCAGGAAGATAGGGACAGGCCCTGGTCTGGCATCTTTCTATCTTGGCCCACAAGGGCCTCCCACCCCCAGCAGCTCACACTTACACTCCTGCTGTTTCAAGGGCAACCTGTAGGCCAGTGTCAAGGCCCGGGGATCTGTGATCTTCAGACACCCAGCCAACTTGCTAGTGTCGTCTGTGGGGCACCCCACCTTCTCAGCAATCTAGGGGAATGCAGAGCGGGAGGTTAGAGGAAGCCGTGGCCAGGCCTGGAACGGCTAGGGGCAGCAAAGGGAAGATCCAGGACAACATGAAAATGGGAACGGTCCCCACCCTGGCTACTCCTGCCCTGTGGCACTTACCTTTTTGGCCCAGAGAAGTGGGTTCTCCTGGATGGCCCAGGGGCTCAGCGCCACGCCACTCTGACTGATGGCTCGCCGGATGAGGCCCTTGTTGTATGGGGAGAGGGTCTGCAATACCCGGAAGTTCTATCAACAGGCTGTACCTGGGCCAGAGCTCCCAGCTGCACTCCGCTCTGACCATTTTCCTAGGCCCCACTGGCTCCCTCCCGTAATCTTGGGGTCAGACTCTCCACACCAGAGGGCCCCAGACCTGCAGAGAGACACTGGCACCTCCGGCAGACTCCCCAAAGATGGTAATGTTATCGGGATCCCCCCCAAAGGCTGCGATGTTCCTCTTCACCCAGGCGATAGCCATGTGCTGATCTCGAAGGCCAAAGTTACCTGAGGGTATGGGGAGTATAGCCTTCATCAGGAGAGACCCTCAACTAGAGTTGGGGGAGGCTAGAGATGAGCGACCTGGGGCTTATACAGAGGGTGGCAAGTCATGTGAACAGCGGGAACCAGTCCTAACTGCAGCGACACCCTGGAAGAGTCCAGGACAGCAAACAAGGGCTCTCCAGGAGGCTGAGCAGAAGAGGACTTGCAAGGGTGGGGAGGTCCAGGGAAATAAAGCCAGCAGGTGGCTCTGCTTGGGTACTGCACACTTCCTCCTACTGTCTGTCTGTCCTTTGATTTCCATGTCCACTCGACTCTACCTCAGCCTCCCTACCTTGCTCTCCAGGACTCAACTTGCGCCTCAGCCACTCTGTCCCTCGGCTTCTCTCATTTCCCGATGACTGCCTAGAGCTCCCAGGCCTCACAGTTCAGCTCCTGTACCCCAGCTCCCTGAAGAAGGTTCTGGGCCCTCCCGTAGCCATCAGGGTAGAGAGTTCTGGAGTGCATCTGTCTGTTGGGTTCAGAGTTCACAGGGTTCAGCACATTCACTGTCGCAACCTACCTGGAAGGTTGGCGTCTCCGGTGCTAAGGAAACCCAAAGGTCCCACACGGTAGTTGAAAGTGACCACGATGACGTTACCCCGAGTGGCAATCTCTTCCCCGTCATACAGGTAGTTTGAGAGGAAATTGGCCCCGTGGCCAGATCCCATAAGAAAGGCGCCTCCATAGATCCAGATCATCACAGGCAGGTCCTGGGACACTGTAACAGGGGCAGACAGGGAATTCAGACACCGGCAGGCCCTCTCCCCAGTGAACTCATTAGCCCTGTTAGAGCAGGTGCTCAACCCAGACTGCGGAGATCAGCAGTGGCAACCCCTCCTTGAAGCTCTGGTGTAGGGAATGGGGTGGGATCCTCTGGGAAACTGGGATCCAGACCTTGTTTCCTGCCCTGGGGCACCCAGATGTTGAGGTAGAGGCAGTCTTCTTGCCCATAGGTGCTGTCCTGGGTGAGAGTGGCCTGTAGGCAACGTTTCTGGAAGCTGTTGGCCTTCAGAATCCCTACAGTGAGAGAAGAGGCAGGCATGAAGAGGACCAGCCCGGCCAGGGTCAGGGCCAGGGCCAACCCAGCACCCAGCACCCACCTTGCCAGCCCGGGTGGCGCTCGGGATTCTCTAGGGTCTTGGCAGTGGCAAAGGGGATGCCTTTGAAGATGTCAACAGAATCACCACCCAAGAGACTAAGCTTCTTGTTGAAGCCCTCCACGAAACCACCTTCTGTGTACACAGAACCCAGCTGCAGGTGAAAGGTGACAGGGTCAGATGGGTTTGGGCTAGCCTGAATCCAGAGTGGCTGACTGAACAGGCTCCAGGGTGCTAGCAGGTCCCCTGCCAAGTGCTGGAAGGGATGGTTCAGCCCCCACCCAATCCTGGCCCATCCTTCTGCAGCTGCCTGAAGCCACTTCAGCCCATATTCTGCCCTTCTAGAATGAAGGTCTAGATCTCAGCTGAGTCTTCATTTGTTTATTTAAAGGCGCTCTGGTAAAGTTTTATTAAAGGAAAACTTCTGTTTTACCTTTCACCAGTCTGTTCTGGCATGCTTCTAATAATATCGGAACCACTTGGGTCAAGGATAGCCGGTGTGCATACTCTGTAGTGTTTTCTGCACGCTGTACCCAACTCAATGTTACTGCCACTGGAGTGACGGACACCAGTTTTAGCCAACATGGCATAGTATTCTATTTCGGATTTCCTCAAAGCGGGGCAGTTGTTGGCGAGGATAACCAGTTTCGCTTTGCCCTGTCTGATCATCTTCGGAGTCTGTTTGTATACCAGCACGTACTTTTCACTTTTCGCCAACTCCAGAGACTTTCATCTTCTTTGCGGCCACCATCTTCCTGCCTTAGGTGCGGGAAGGCCCCCAACCAAGACCAGCCGCCAAGACTGGGAGCAAGAAAGGCTCGGCTGAGTCTTGGTGTGTAAGATGGGCCACAGCAATTTCCCCACGGCTTGATGGCTGTCAGAGGGAAGGCCTGTCCAACTGCCAACAGCGGTGGATGCACAGTTGCTGCCAGAATGTTTCCGACATAGCCGTGAGCCTCTGAGGTCTGACTCTCCTTCCTTTACCTCTCCCCATGGCCTAGCTAGCTGGGCATGGAGCTATGTCCATGTTCTCCCAGGGCCAGTCAGTATTGCCACTTGGTGACTAGTCGTTTTTTGTTTGTTTGTTTGTTTGTTTTGAGACAGGGTTTCTCTGTGTAACAGCCCTGTCTGTCCTGGAACTCAGATTCACCTGCCTCTGCCTCCTGAGTGCTGGGATTAAAGGTGTGCGCCACCACCGCTCAGCTGGTATGTAGTCTTACCCAGTGGCCTGGAGGCAGGTACCCATTGACCCACTGTCCCTGCAAACTAAGGTGCAGGGACTTCCCCACTGGGAGTCATTCTGCTGAGACAAGGCTGTCCAATCTCAGTGCCAGTGCATGCCACCTCCCATTCTGCTTGCATCAGTCCAGGACACATGCAGGAGCAGCTCTGCTTACCTGGCAGCAGAGACAGTGTGACTTCCTGCCTCTCCCCTGTGCGTGGTTTCAGGTAGGGGGAAGTAGGTGGCCTGAGGCTGCAGGCCCAAGCTAGGACCCCAGGAGCCCTCTGAAGTTCAGGCCCATGAAGTCCCTACTATACTGGGTGAGGAAACTGGAGAAAGAGAGGAGTTGGGGAAACTCCACAGATAACTGGGACATCTGAGGTTCCTTGTTTCAGCCTCCGGGCTACTGGGATGAGTCAGAGAGCCAGCTCGGGGACGGGGGAATGTCACCTCTCAGCGTATCTGTATGGCTGTGGTTGACCTGAGTGCCTCAAGTGGGGGACCAAGGATGCAGGGATTCTGGCCAGTGTCAGGATGGGTGTGTTGGCTGGCGGTAGATCAGTGGAAAGTAAGTTCAGGTCCTTCTAACACCCCAAAAGAACTCTCTCGAGAAAGATAATTACTTCCTTATCATGGCAGGAGCCCAGGACCAGCACCCCAGCTTCCTTGCTCCAGGGGAGGAAGGGTGTTCTCCAGCACGACAAGGGCTGGAGCATGAAGGCGGTGGGAAGTAACATGGTGAGGAGCTGGGACCACTGTCCAGGGACCTATGCTGTCTCCTGCATCTGTCAAGCTTTCAGCGACTTGTCCACACACACGGAGAACGATGGTCAAAGGGCAGACTTTACAGGCGCCCCAGAACTGGTACAGCCTCCTCCAGGTACTTGGAGGGAAGCCTTGCATACAGCAGGTAGGGTTCACCCCTCTCAGGAAGAGCAAGAAATGGAGGTTACTTGGGGAACAGGCCCTGATTTGGAACAGACATTTCAGATTCCTATTCAAGAACAGGATGTGGTCGCTCTGTAATGTCAGGCTAGCTGCTTCTTTCTCTATGGGGTTCCCTTAGAAAAGGGGAAAAGCCGGACGTTGTGGGTAGGCTTGCCACTTAGGCGCACCTGAAACCACGGAGCAATAGTGGGCTTTTTAGTATAAATGCTTCAAATAGTGCAAGAGATGTCCTTACACGCAAAACTACTCCTGGTGTGTGATTCCAATACAGTTGTGCAGGCTGCACGAGGCTTCATGTGAGCAAGACAAGCTGGGTGTGGCCCAAGCAGGACCAGAACCTGGAGTGCCAGTGCTGTTGAGCTTGCTGGCCTCTTCTTCCCTTTCTGTGATCTCTCTGTCCTCCATCCTCCAGCCCTGCCCCCAGTTTCCAGATCTTAATGCAAGAGAGGGCTGCGGTCCCTTGCAGGGCTCTGACTTACCTTTGCAGCACAAGCTGCTGCCAAGCAGCAAGTGAGGCCAAAAATCAGAACCTCCAGGCGCCCCATGGTGAGTGTCTGCCCCTAGGCGCCCTTCTCTCCATTTCTCCTATATTTATGGAGTTGGAGCCAAGGTCACATGCATACCATGTACTCAGATACACAGGTGTGGAATGATCCATTTCTCCCAGGTCAGGCTGGCCCCGTGCAACCTGAGTGGCGCCCGGTGTGTACCTGTGTGGGTAACTGCCTACCTGGGAGCAGAGGCAGGTGGCATGGATAATGTGGGGGAGGGCATCCCAGGGCCAGCCCTGGCTGGGTGTTGTCATTTTAGGGTCTAGTGTCACCTTCAGAAAAATGGGTGTGCTTCATCTCAAGGTACCTTAGTGGGGAATCCCTGAGAGACTCTTGTGGTTGACTCTTGCAAACTCCAAGAACCTGCAAGAAGTATGGGGCAGTGCAGGCTGAGCTAAGTGCAGGAGGCAGAATCCCGGGAGTGCAGGACAAGAAACTAGGTGGACATGGCGGCACAGATGGAGGGGAGCTTCCAGAGCGAAACCTGGTGTGGCTCACTTACCAGGGCTTGGTGGCACCTTCAGATAAAGGGGCATATTTCACCTCTGTGCCTTGCTGGAGGGTGGGTGGGGCTTCCTGGAGAACACAAGCAAGGATTCTGGAGCATAACCAGGCAGAAAGACAAAATCTTGGCAGAGGAGAGGCACAGAATGAGGGAGGGAGGAGGAAAACACTGGGTTTGGAGGTGAAGGCCAGTACGAGGTTATCAGAACAGCCACCATCCTAGGGATGTGTACTTTGGCTATCAGGAAAACATTATTACTGCGACAGACACAAACCAAGTCCTAAGAGACTCCCTTTAAGGAGTGCAGCTGCCTTTTTACACCCGGAGGACACAGCAGCTGGCCAGGCATAGCCAGAGTCTTCCTAGGCCAGCAGCCCCTCCAGTCCAGGAGCCCAAGTCCCCAGCTCAGATCACAGCTCTGCATGTGTGTGCCGGAGCACAGGGGAACCTACAGATCCACATGCACCACTGCGTTCACGGGCTGTGCCCAATCCAGTGTGCAGGTCTCCATGGTGCACAGTAGGTGTGCACATGTGAGAGGTGGGATACAGCGGAGGTGGGGTAGCAGGAAACACGCATGTTGGGTATCGTGTCAGCTACTGATTCTGAGAACAGTGCTAAAGAAAGCAATTCTGTACTGGGCAGCGCGGGTTGAGCAATGCACGGTAGCTTAGGAGGAAAGTGGCAGGAGGGGGATGTAGAGGACAGTGGCCTCTCTAGCTTTTAGAATACTTTTCAGTTCACAGCAACACTGAGCAGGAAGGAGAGTCCTCATGTCCACTGCCCCAACACTGGAGTAGCCTACGTCTACAGTGACAGACCCACAAGGACACACCTGTCACAGTCCAGTAGTGCTGGCTGCTGCTGACGCTGGATGTACTTATCTGTGGCATGTGGAGTTCTTTATGGGGAGACCCTAGGGGCACATCTGGGTGCTCAGTCCACAACCTCTCCAAAGGCTGGCCTGAAAGCATCAAGGTGAGCTGACAGAGAGGACCACACAGAACACTAACCCCACTGACACAGACACATAGGATTTAGGCATGCCATTTTAATAGCAGTTGGTTTTCCTTTGGTGGGGGGCGGATAAAATGTTTCCTAAGAAGTAAAGTCCACCAACACTGGTGCCACGTATATCAGAATTACAACCACAACTCAGGCCAGGCCTGCTGCTGCCACTCCCCAGCTATGTGGCCTGAGCCTCAGTTTCTCTCTGACAAGGAGTTCCTGGCATGCATGGCAAGCGCAGGGTCTGCAGTTCCCTTTCCTGGTTGCAGGTGCCTCGGGAGAGGTGCTTCTACTTTGCTCTCAGGCAGGAGATATAAGCTTACAGGAGCCAGTGAGTGGCCTCACTTGGGAGAGTCCCTTCAGGCACTGGCCTGCAGAACTCACCCCAAGTACAAAGAACAGAGAGGCTTAAATGACCCCAAGCAGCCTTCTGATTTTATCATGTTACATTGTCTAGTTTATCAACTGTTAAACGTATGTACTTCAATGATTTGTTATTTTAAATTATGTGTATATGTCTGTATGGAGTATGCACACATGAGTACAGGTGCCCCCAGAGGCCAAAGGGCTGCTGGAAAGAACTGGAAATTGTGTTAACTATGGTGATCAATGTCACATATTAACAGGGTACACAGATATTTGGTCAAGGTAGGCACGGTGTACACATCTTCAATCCCAGCATGAAGGAGGTGGAGGCAGAAGGATCTCCGGGAGTTCAATGTTAGTCTACACAGTGAGTTCCAGGACAGCCAGGGCTACATAGAGAGAGCCTGTCTCAAAACAAACAAACAAGCCAACAAACCCTAAAACACTTGGTCAAGCATTCTGATGTTTGAGGCTTTTTTCAGATGAAATGCTGTATAAATCAGTAGGCGGTGACAGGAAAGCTTAGCCTCTATGTGGGTGGGCTTCATGCCCAGTCTACTGCAGGCCTGAGACTGCGGGGGAGGGACGGGACAGCCAGGGTGCCACCTTTGACGGCAGCCCTTTCACTGAATCTCCACCCTACACCATGCCCCAAGGCTGTGGACCTGTACCACAACTGTAAGCCAGCTGTTTACAATAAATTCTAATGGTTCTGTGCCAAATAGCACTGTAGTTCTGTTAGAGACAAGTATGGTCTTTTCTCAACCACACCCAGCAAAACACAAATAGAAAACAATACCAGGGTGCAACTCAGGTGCTGTGAAGTCAGGGGACTGGGAATCAGCTGCATGAAACACGAGCACTTCCGAGGGCATTTTATATTTTCATACTGAAAACACTTTTATTTACATGGGAATTCAGGAGAAGAATCACCACCCTTTGCTAGGTGTGGCTAGAGCTCAGGACGTCTTAGTTTGGCCAACCTAAGGCAAGACTGCTATTGCCCTGGGCTCTGTGTAGGTAAGGCCTTCAAAGGGCATGGGGTCCCTTACTCAGAACCTTCCTCAGATCTACAGTCAAGATATTCCTGGGTAGATGGGACCAGAACCTAGATAGACCTCCCCAAAGACCAGGTTGGGCAGCAGCTCAGAAGTGGGAATGCTCCTGGCTGAGGTATCCTGGCAGCTTCTGTGAGAGAAGTCCTGTGGGGCCAGGCAAGGCTGGCCAGTCTTTAGGGAAGGATTACTTCCTGCCTCTAGGCTGAGCTTTCTTTGAAGCAGCAGGGAGCAGGGTCATCAGAGGACAAGGGTCCAGCTGCTTCCCTGCAAGGCTGGGAAGTTCCCAGGGGTATCCATTTGGGCCAAATGAAACAATGGGTCCTCAATCTTGTCAGGAGGATGAGCTGGCTCAAGGCATCTGGCTTTGGAATTGCTGTGACTTGACTGTGTGTGCCAGGCCACACGGTTCAAGGGACAGAGGCCGCACAGAGAAACAAGGCAATGGCCCATCTCTCACTCAGCATCCTTCAGGAAGTGGTGCTACTGCCCAGGGGCTTGGGAGGCCATGCATGAGAGAACCTTCCAGGGAGGCCAGCTTGGCAGGGACATGACAGACTCTGGTTTTACAAAAGGAAGCTGTCAGACAAGAGGGTGTTTCCAGGGAACTGAAGAGCTGGTCCATTTGGCGAAGTCAGGCTGAGCCCAGTCTGAGGTTGCCCAGTGTCCTCATCTCACCACCCTGGATGGGGCACAGGCCTGTCCCAACTGTCCCATCACGGTACACCAGCATGTCCTGAATGAGTGAAGGAACAAATGAGGCGCTAGAGAGCCCCAGGCAAGAGGAAACATTCCCAGCTCTAACCCCCCAAGTTGAGACACCCAGGCACCTAGGAAAATTCATTAACAGGACAATTATGGCTAGGCCTGTCTTTTTACCAACACTATCCCCAGGCAGATGCTATCTAAACCAAGGGTAGTCTGGCTGTCTGTGATGGCAGACCAGGCTCCTCAGGTCATCTGTCATTATATTCACAAGACCTCTGCCAGGATGGGTGTCCCAAGCTTTACCACATCCACTTCTGGCTTCTGCAGCTCTTGGCCTTGGGTCATCTATATGGCATTAGGGTCGTCTTCAAACACTCAGGGCAGAAGGCAGTACTGAGCAGTGGATTACAATCAGAGCCAGGGCCTGCTTCTTAAGACACCAGCTTCCTTCAGAGGTGCCTCTGGGGTGACCTGGCTCTGGCTTCTTTGTGAGAATAGTTGCCAGTCTTACCTGGTTGCCTGGAGCCAGCGCTGTCACACATAGTCCAGAATCTCTGTCTCCATCTCATTTTCACTCCCATCTGAGGGCTTGAAATCTTCCTCTTCCTCCTCTTCCTCTTCCTCCTCGCCCTCCTCACCAGACTCGAACATCAGCTGGCCTTTCCCTTGATCAGCCTTACCTGTGTCAGAGAACAGAGCTGCGCGAGAGGGAAAGAAGGCGATGTCTCCCAGTGCAGGCTTCCTAGATGACCCGGAGCTCATTTACTAGGACAGGTATTTGGGCTTGAAGCTACTATTGAAAGTATGAGGGCGGGATGCAGGAAGGTGGAGCTTCACAAGGCATGTTTCAAGCCATTTTCTCTAGAGTCATGAGCAACCTGGGACCCTATGCACCGTGAGAAGGCACATACCAGTGTTCCCAGAAAAGGGTCACAGCCTTGACTGAACTCCCAGGAGGTTTAGCCCGTGTCCCAAACACAGGCAGGAAGCCCTGCTCTACTCAGATACCCACTACCTAGCCTGGAAGGAAGTCCTTTGCAAGAGCTTTTCACTGCCCTGTAGGTCCCCTTGTAGACGCCCTGCCCCAGTGGCTAGCTCTGGCTTTGGTTTGAAAAAGGAGCTAGGGATTTACAGTACAGGGCCATGGGCCACACAACCCCACGGGAGGAGATGGGCAGAGCTGCCATTCCTGTACAGGAAGTGTCATAACTGAGTCCTAGCTCACAGGCCTCCCTCCACCAAGGGTGATGGACAAGATGAGGGTCTCTGAAGCTTTTGTCTGAACAGGTAGGTCTGAGGCCTCCTGGCACATGTGGCTCTTACCAGGCCTCTCAGAGCGGATGGTCTGCAGAATCATGAGTGACATGGTGTCCCTCAGGTGGTCTGTGGTCTTGGGAAGGCACCATCCATCTCTCTCCGTGCACACGCTCTCTGTCCCATCATTGCGGTGAACAATTTTCTGCAATCTGCGGGCAGAGTCAGGGGCAGGGAGAGTGGCTCCAAGTGTGCTTCCTCGTGGGATAGAGTTCCAGTACAGCTCTATGGGCACGGGGTTTGTTGGACCAGGATGTCCATGGGGAGGCTCTTACATGGGGTCTGTGTGACAAACAGTGCTTCAGAAGGAAGTCTCAGAGGGGGTGTGTAATGAAGGTCTTGCAGGGATGGATGCTCCCAGCTGGGTTCCTTAACATTTGCAGTCTCTGGACAGAAACCCCCACTCCTACCCACCCCAGCAACAAAAGCAAAAACAAACCAAAACTAAAGAGCTATGCAAAGCCGGAAGGTATACACCCAGGCCCACTTCTCTGTCACAGTCAGGCTCTCCCTAGATCCACATGCTGCCTGCTTCCTTTCCACACTGTGGGCCTACTCTTATGTTTTCTAAACTTGCTTGAGAACAATGGGCAGGTGTCCAGGATCAGGAACCATGTCAATCAAGGAGACTCTCAGGAAAATACTTCAGCAAGAGTCACTGCTATTAGCAAGCAGGGCTGTTTTCTACAGGGTACAGTGCAGCCGCGATTGCTGGACCCTGCCTTATAGCCCACATATGGCAGGACCAAGAGCAGCACCCAACTCCCAGTGGCCAAGTTTCCCTTAACGCTCACTGCAGAGAACACTGGTCTTGTTCTAGTGAGTTCTAGCCTAGAGCTCCGGGGATCATCAGTGGCACAGGACCCCTCATACATACTCTTCCACGTTCAAATCACACAGCTGGTAGAACATCTGTCGATAGGGTGGCAGAGCCCCTTCCCGGAAGATGTAGACAGAATCCTGTGGACAGGAAGGAAGAGAATGGGGTGGTTATGTAGCACTCCAGGTTCTGAAAGTGCTAAGGACACCCATGCTGTGGCTTCCATGGGAGTCTAAGGACTTGGCTTGTCCCCAGGCCCAGGGGGCCAGCAGATGTGGAGAAAGGAGGCTCTCACTCTCCAGGAGGTTCTGGAGGGTGGAGGCAGTCAGGGCCTCCTTGGACCCCTGGAAGTCTGCCACCAGCCTGTACTGGGCTCCGCCTTCTGTGCCTTCAAAGGATGGGATCTGCCCCTCACCAGCTGTCTCTAATCAGTCACTCTATATGCCGCTCATGCTCCTTTGACCGCTTTTTCCGGAGGAGGGCAGCATTTAATGAGTATCATTTTCTCTTCTCTCCACTCGGAATGCAGTCCTGAAGTCAAGGACAAGGCTCCAAGACTTTGGTAGCCAAGGCATGATGGCACTAGGGGACAGCTGTCTCGCTCATGTCTCTGCGCTTACATTTTCTGTCACAGCCACACAAGCAGGGACTGCAGGGTAGAGGATACAATAGCCTGGCCTATCGCAGGACTGCAGAGGGATCAGGAGAAGTGGGGGAGTGAGCTAACCACCGTGGGGTGACACTGATGAAAATGTAAGCCCTGGAGGTCTGGGTCCATCCCATCGCACATGTCAACCCACAGCTGAGCCCCAGATGTTCTGGTCTGGACTGTGCGCATGTCTACGCCCAAGTCCTGTCATCTCAGCAGTAGTTACAGGCCTCAGGGGAGCCAGGCTCCCCAGGGGCAGCCACACATCTGCTGGTGTCAAATTCCCTCTCAGGACTTGTCACCACCTCTCTGCACAGATGGCCCTTGTTCCCCATGGCACTCCAAATTCTCATTTTCTTTCCAGAGGGGTCTGAGGTGGGAGTAATGAGAAGGCACTTGGAAGGCAGAGAGTTCAGTCAGTCATAGATCCTTCCCAGAATCACAAACGCCCAGCCTTGCAAAGACACTCTATCCCCACACTTGACCCCACACTGGAGCCCGAGGACACTCACCTTGAGCTTGTACTTATTGTAGGTCAATTTGCGTGGGCCGTCTGTTCCTGATGGGCCCAGGCCCTGCTTTAGGTCACGCATGTTAACAAGCTGGTTGGCTACATGGGAGCAAGGCAGTGCTTTGGAATAGAGGAAGTGAGGACAACCCTGTCTGACCCTTCGCACCTGTCTGTAAGGAATAGCCAGCAGACCTCCCATCTTGTTGCCCACCTCCCTTGGCTATGTCCTGATGCAGGCAACCCAGCCACTTACATGTCTTCTTGACAGTGATGGGGAGGCTATAGTTGTATGTGCTGCGCTTCGCTTTGACAGGCATGTCCCTGGAACCATAACCTACACGCAAGGGCCATGTGTCAGAAGGGAAGTAGGTACCAAACCCATCTGGGCAGCAGTCAGGGGTTCACCTTAAGGTGGTCAACTCCATCTGCCACCTACAGAAGAAATGGATGCCAGCACATCTAGCAGTTCTCACATGCTGATACCCTTATGTGGTTTCCTGGCATCCTGGACTTAAATTTTTTTTTTATTTTTTTTTTAATATTTATTTATTTTATTATGTATACAACATCCCTTCCCTGTGTGCCCACATGTCAGAAGGGGGCGCCAGGTCTCATTAAAGATGGCTGTGAGCCACCATGTGGTTGCTGGGAATTGAACTCAGGACCTCTGGAAGAGCAGTCGGTGCTCTTAACCACTGAGCCATCTCTCCAGCCCTGGACTTAAAATTTTTAAGTAGGACCTGAGCCATAGGTCCTTGTTCATAAACTAGAAAGCCACAGCCTAGTCAGCAAAGAGCTGGCACTTCTATTCCAAGATCCTTTATACTGTTCCATAGGGGCGGGAGGGCCTTGGGAGGTACAGAAATGTTTCTGGTCTCTCCACAGGAATAGACTTTTTTTTTTTTTTTTTTTTTTTTTTAAGATAGGCTCTCACTATATAGCTTTGATTCCTCTGGAATTCACTATATAGACTATGATGGCCTTGAACTCACAGAGATCCACCTGTTTCTGCCTTGTGAATGTTAGGATTAAGGGTGTGTGCTACTATTTCTGCTGGGAATAGGCTCTTAAAGGTGTGTATACTATTTTTAAATTATAATTTTATAAACATATATACACACCCACATATTTAATTTTAAAATTATGTGTGTGTGTGTGTGTGTGTCAGTATGTGCGTGTAAGTGCAGATGCCTATGGAGCCCAGATGTAGTGTACAGATTCTCTGGAACTGGAGATGCAGACAGTTGTGAGTTGTCTGACATGGTAATGGGAATTAAAGAAGGGCCCTCTCCAAGCATGCATGCTGTCACTGCTGAGCCATCCCCTATTCAGCCTCAGAATAGAGGAGAGTGCTAGAAACGGTGCTGGAGAGGTGGCTGTGTAACACCCTGCATGCATCCTATCTACCCAAGCTCTGAGTACACTACTGTGGGTTTGTGACAGAGACAGGACTGCTCAGGCTTGCTGGCTTCCAGTCAGCTCAGAAAACCTGAATCCCAGGTTCATGAAGAGATTCTGCCTCAAAGAACCAGGTGGAAAGTGACACAGATCACCTGACCTCTTTTCTGGCCTCCACGTGTGTGCACAGGAGTGCTCACCTGCATACACATGTGCTTGTACTCTCACACACAGATATGTACACATACATCTTTTTTTTTAAGGCATCTGCTTGAATTGGAGGGCACAAAGAGACAAAAACAGAAAATAAACTTATTTTTACCGTATTTCATTCCACAGCGGATTCGAAAGTCAAGCACATGATAAATTTTGGCATCTGGGTGTTTTCGAGGGTCATAGCCAAAACGAATCCACAAGCTTCTCCATGGACCTGTTATCTAAAGACCAAAAAGTACTGCATATGAGAAAGGGCCAAGAGTCCTTAGTACCTGGGTGGAGACCAAGCCCTGCAGTGAGGCAGCAGGAGCCCCAGCCCTGAGAGCATGGCTTTAGACCCTACCCTTTGACAAGGTTCTATGAGGATGAAGTGAGATCAGGAGTTTCTACCACTGTTCCTGGTACCCACAATGTCCTAGTGCACGGATTCCTGTCCTTGAACGGCACTGCAGTTAGAAGTCATGTTCAGGAAAAGAGGAGCTCTCCAGGCTGGAGTCCACAGTGCCCTGCCCATCGTCAATCTCTGAGGTCGTGTTTTATGCTGGCTCCCTTGGCAGGTAAGCAGAACCCCTTTTCTTTCGAATGTTTAGGAACCTTTGTACCACCATGCCTATCTCCATCCTTTCCTGGGAGGAATCAAGAGTAGACTTCTTCCACTAAGCCCTACTCAGAATGGACAGCTGAGTTGAGAGATGTTGTCACTCAGGGGCCTGGTCTCTGGGCTGCAAAACCAAAACAAGGCAGTCAACTCTCGGAGCCCTGCTTTTCCTCAGAGATAAAAAGGGACTCTTACTGTCACCTCCAGAAAGAACAGACAGTGATATGTAGGCTGACCCAGTGCTAGGCACTAGGAAATTTCTCACTATAAGGTCACTATGCACAGGATGCTTACCTATGACTTAGGAAATGCTTCTTCATCCAAAGTCATCCACATTATTAGAAGGCTGTGGTGGACCAGGAAGTTTTGAAATCTTTCTAGCTGTTTCTTTTTTGTGTGTATGTCACTGCGCGCATGTGTGTGTACACCAAATACCAGAGGGTGTTGCTGGTTGTCTTTATCACTCTTCACCTTACTTTCTAAGATACACTTCCCCAGGATCTGCCCAACTACACCTGCTCAGCGCTGGAGTTACAGGCACATGCCACCATGCCCAGCTTTCATGTGAGTGCTGGGGATCTTCCAGCCTGTACAGCAAGCACTTTACCTGAGCCATCTCACCAGCTCTCTATCTAATTTAAACAAGTTGTCTCAGGGTGCCATGTGGCAGGGGTGCTAGGAGGTATGTCTACCTTCTGTTGCCATGGCTCTAATATGTCACACGAAGGATCAAGAACCACACTGGTGGGAACCAAGGTGACTGTGAGACTAGCTGCCACTTACCATGTAATAAGCCATGTAGGGAAGTAAGATCTTGAGCTTGTCAGGGTGGACACTGACGTTAGACTTGACAGCATTTCGTGACCAGACTGGACGAATGTCGAAGAGCTAGGGAAAGTCACAGAGTCTGAGACGAACACCAACAGCTATTGGCCTTCTCACATCCTGTCGTGTATGTCTGGGCCCCAGTGGTAGAAGGCAGGGACTCAACAAGTCTCTGAAACCCGCCACACCTACCTCATAAAAAACCCCTTCCTACTCTTAATTCCTTAAAGGCCTAGATTATACATCCTGCAAATGAAAGTGGGGTCCTGAAGTGACCACACAGTTCCTGTCCTTGCATGGTTCACAGTGCACTGGAGCAACAAGACTGAGCAAGCTCATGCTAAAACCCCAGAGCTGGGCTGGAGAGATGGCTCAGTGGTTAAGAGCATTGCCTGCTCTTCCAAAGGTCCTGAGTTCAATTCCCAGCAACCACATGGTGGCTCACAACCATCTGTAATGAGGTCTGGTGCCCTCTTCTGGCCTGCAGGCATACATGCAGACAGAATATTGTGTACATAATAAATAAAAAATAAAAAAATAAAAAAAAAAAAAAAACCCAGAGCCCTGATCTCTGCTAACCTGGAATGCAAGTGCTGGAGATGAGACTTCAAGAAGGTGAAGGGGATGGCCTGGTTCTGAGGAGGGCTGTGCAAGGCCACTGTGACCGGAGAATGGAGGGCCAGGGCAGAGATGAGCCACAGAAAAAGCCTCAAGTGACTACTGAGAATCAGTTAAGAGTTGTGCTTCTGAGGGACCCTGTCCTTGAACAGGGTCTGACTTCAGCTTCGACAAGGAAAGCCTCACTGAGACCTGCTGTTTAGGCCTATGGACCCAGTCATATAGCCCAAAGGGACTACAGTGCCCTGTGACGTTTCTCCAGCTCAATTCAGGATGAAGGTGCCACAGTCTGGTACATGACCATATGCCATGGGCTTGTTACAAGCAATAGCTCTGCACAGGCTGCTAGACCCCAGCTCCACAGTCAGGTCACACCCAGCAATGACCCGTCTCTGGGCACCCCAACCAGGCTTTGACCCAGCAGTGTCTCTCAGCCCTCTTTCTACTTTCTGAGATAACCTAGTTTGCCAAGGCTAGCTCTGAACTCACTTTGCTGGCCAGCTGGCCTGCTCCTTATACTACTTCCACTCTGGGGGTTATAGGCCTATGAAGCCAGGCCTAGCTTCTGACAGCTTTTAGATGTAACAGCTGGAGGTAAAAATGCCCATGTTACCAGTCAGTGCTAGAGAAAGCCTCACCATCCTGAGCGGTGGAGTAGGAGTGGCCCAGCAGGCTGGGTGGGGCTGAGACTCACCTGCCTCAGCTCCTCCTCCACTTTCTGATCTATGGGGTTGGTGCAGGCCTTCTTCCAAGTCTGTACTGCAGCCTCCAAGGGCTGTAGAGGTACCTCAGGGTCCTCAAAGTTGACAAAGATGGCATTATGGGGGCGCCGGGCTCTACTCAATCCAATCAGGTTCTCGCCCGAGATGGAGGGATTGTGGTAGCCTTCCCTGTGGAGAGAGAGAAGGTCAGATTACCATCCCAGCCATAGACCCGGCCAGGCAGGCAGGGAACCCAGCAGGCACGCCTCACTACAGACCACAGCCGTGTGCCTTTTTCTGGATTCAGTGGAGGGAGGACCCCAGCACTGCCTGCTGGAGAAGCATATGCCGGTAGGCTGCCAGCAAGGAGAGAAGGAGCAGTGGCTCAGGGAAACTAGGAGCCAATGGCCTTTTTTTTTTTTTTTTTTTTTTTTTGAGGCAGGGGAGGCAGGGTTTCTCTGTGGCTTTGGAGCCTGTCCTGGTTCTTGCTCTGTAGACCAGGCTGGTCTCAAACTCACAGAGATCCGCCTGCCTCTGCCTCCCGAGTGCTGGGATTAAAGGCGTGTGCCACCATCGCCTGGCACGGGGCCAATGGCCTTGAAGGAGGGCAAGGTCCCAAAGTCCCAGAGATTGGGGTGTGGGAAAGGGCACCATGGCAAGGCTGGTGGCCTCTCACCTGCAACTGCATCGAGCCACACACAGCAAAATCCAGCCAGTGCAAAGCTGGGCACAATCCAAATGCCTATCAGCCACATATGTGGACAGTGATGTGAACTCTGCCTGTTTACATGACTCACTCAACTCTCAAAACTTCTTCTCCAAGGAAGGAGTTTCTGAGGAAGTAACTGAGGCCACCAAGATTAGAAAGTGTGCCCAAACAGCATCTGCTACAGGAGCTGGGCCTCAGCCCCAAGAGGCCTGGCTACAGCCATCTCTTAGTCAACTGTCCTTCTACCTAGCAGAGTATGACTTAGTTCACAAGCATCTGGACAACACAGGTGAATGACAAGGATACAGCCAGAGGTTAAGCCAGGGTTCTACCTGACCACATCCATAGTATCTAAGAACAGGAGGGACCCATGTGAACTGTACCCTGTGGTGTGTCCTGCCCTCCTGCCCGGGAACACACAGACCACTTTGTGTATGTGCATGGGAGGGGTGAGAAGTGTGTGAGATGTGCTTCTCATACACAAGGGTACCTCAATCTCCATACCTTCTTCAGGGTGCCATGAACCTTTAAAACACACGCACTAACTTTGCACATGTATCAGCACAGAGCATGCCTGGGTGGGTGGCTCCTGAAGCACTCGCAGCGGTTCCCTAACCCTTTGAGGTAGACAACACAAACAGCAGACACAGAGACATCAGCATCAGGACCCCATGGATGCATCCTCAGCTTCAACAGTTACTACCACACATCGGCCTCTGCTTCCCCACACTAGCCCCACCCCCACAGCTCTTCTAAGTGCATTTTACTGCATGTCACAAGCCCATTTGCAGTCATCACCTTTTCAAACATATTGATTTTATTTACACATATGTGTCTGTATGTTTATGCAATATGTGTGAGGGCCAGAAGTTGTGAGCCACTTAATGTGGGTGCTGGGAACCAAACTCTGGTTCTCTGGAAGAGCAATACGTGCTCCTAACCACTGAGTTCCCTCTGCTACCCCTTTACCTAAAAAAAAAAAAAAAATCTCTGTCTATGTAACCCACGCTGGTCTAGAATTCCTAGGTTCAAACAATCCTCCTCAACCTCATCCAGTTTGCACTTTACTCTACTTTTCTACATGAGTGCATACCACCTGCAAACTTAAAACAAACAGTTTTCACATTAACAAACTAAATATGGAACATGGGGTCAAGTCTGTGTGTGTGTGTGTGTTTTCAAACGTACCTGTCAGGAACCATCCCAGGTAAGTACAACACTACCCTGCTTTAAAGCCCTTCTCCCTGAGTCCCCAGCACCCTCAAGAAGGAAAGTAGTGGCTGGCCTTCACTTCAGGAGCATGGAAGGGAGGCAGAGCTGCCTCTGCTGCCTGTCCACTGCCTCCGGCTAGCTCTAATGACCACTGTGATTCTAAGTCTGTGGAGAACTGCTGGGAGCAGAAGGGGCTCAACACCTTGCCAGCCTACCTTCTGCTATCCCAGGCTGTACACTCAACCCCTTGAGGTGGACAGCCAGGCCCTCCTTCCCCAAGAAGGCCAGCCATACACAAAAATCAACAGTGCCTGGGAAGAAAGGCAGGTTCTTTCCACGTGCAGGGAACCTGCTTGATCACATGAGGAAGAAAAAGGGTCATGCCTAAAGGCCCCAAGTCTGCTGGCCCTCACTCATGACTACTCCAGAGGCTTGGACTAGTTGCTGCCAGCCTGTGTGTGCAGAATGTAGCACAGGTGTTCCACTGCTGTGGCGCGCTCTTCCTGCTACAGGTGTAAATTACTTTGTGAGGAGACGAAAACACTCAGGAATATGCAACTTTGAAAAAGCAATGAGGCAGCCGCCCATAATGGCACACACTATTAGGCCCAGAACTGGGGAGGCAGAAGCAGGTGGATTTCTGAATTTGAGGCCAGCCTAGTCTACAGAGCAAGTTTCAGGAGAGCCAAAGTTACACAGAGAAACCCAATCTTGAAAAAGCATACAACGTGTCCCCACACACACAAAAAAAGAAAAAACAAAGCAAGGTAGCTCAGTAGATAAAGGCATTTGCTGTCAAGCCTGATGACCTGAGTTCAAACCCCAGGACACACATAGTGGAAAGACAGAACTGACTCCTACAAGTTGTCCTCTGACTTCAATATATACACTGTGGCACAGGCATGCCCACAAGCACTCACACTCTTGAGTACACACAGTCATACACCCCCACTCTCCCACACTCTATACTCAACTAAATAAATAGATAAATGTACTGGAAACAATAAAACAGCAATCATACCCAAGACAGGCCTAACACTCTTGTGCCAGGCACACTGTACACGCAGTATACTGTCCCTCCCCCCACAAGGGGTTTTAGCAGGGAAGCAATGGCACTTATACATATTTTTGGCTGTATCTTTTCATGATACTTGTTTCTTCTTAACAAGTACAACTTACTCTCATAATCAGAAAAACAGTAGAGGAGGGGACAGGAAAGCAACAGACGGACTCAACAACTCTGGAAACACACAGCCTCTTACTTTTTTAAAATTTATTCTTATTTTATGTGCACTGGTGTTTTGTCTGCATGTATGTCTGTGTGAAAGTGTCAGAACCCCTGGAACTGGAGTTACAGACAGTTGTGAGCTGCCATGTAAGTTCTGGGAATTGAACTCAGGACCTCAGGAAGAGCAGCCAGTGCTCTTTACCACTGAGCTATTCTGCCAGCCCCCATTTTGGGGGATTTTCAAGACAGGGTTTCTCTATGTACTTCTGGGTATCCTGGAACTGACTCTGTGTTGTTGTAAGAGGCTGCTAGTTAGTTCCTGGCTGCTCAGCCCCAAAACAATGACACAGAAACCATATTATTTGCAATACTGTTTGGCCAATAGCTTAAGCATATTTCTGGCTAACTCTTATATTCTAAACTAGTCCGTCTCCATTAATCTGTGTATTGCCATGTAGATGTGGCTCACCGGGTAAAGTTCCGTCCCAAGCATCTGTCTCTGATAGGCTACATGGCTTCTCTCTCTGACTCCACCTTCTTTCTTCCAGCATTCAGTTTAGTTTTCCCCACCTACCTCTGTTCTGCCCTGCTATAGGTTCAAGCCAGCTTTCTTTATTAACCAATTGTATTCACAGCATACACAGGGGAATCCCACATCAACTCTGTAGACCAGGCTAGCCTTGAACTCAAGAGATTCTCCTGGCTCTGCCTCCTGAATGCTGGGATAAAAGGCACATACCACCGCCACCATCTGGTTCTTTTTCATTTTTACATCTGCTCCAGGTGGCCTTAAACTTGTGACCCTCAACTTTGTGAGTGCTGGGATCACCAGCGTATGAACCTATAATTCCAGCAGCTCTATTTATTTGTTTATTCATTCATTTTTTTTTTGGAAGTTTCTTTTTTTTTACTTTAATTTATTACAGATTTCTGTCTCTTCATTTTTATTTACTCATGTTTAGTCATTTATTTATTCATTTGAAACAAACTCTTTTTGTCCAAGTTGGCCCCAGGCTTTTGGGCTTAAGTGAGTGTCCTCCTATAGCTTCCTGGGTAACTGGAGTATGGCTATACACTATCCTACCTCAATTCACAGAAGTTTGTTTTTTATCCGAGAAAAGATTTCTCTGTGGAACGGCCCTGGCTGTCCTGGAACTCACTCTGTAGACTAGGCTGGCCTTGAACTCACAGAGATCCACCTGCCTCTATCTCCTGAGTTCTGCCACCACCACCACCCAGCTACAGTAGTTTTTTAAAGCAGAGAACAATACTCTTTTTGTGATGAGACCTAAACCTGCTGCCAGAGCAAAGAGATCTTTTTTTTTTTTTTTTTTTTTTATTTTCGAGACAGGGTTTCTCCGTAGCTTTTGATTCCTGTCCTGGAACTAGCTCTTCTAGACCAGGCTGGCCTTGAACTCACAGAGATCCACCTGCCTCTGCCTCCGGAGTGCTGGGATTAAAGGCTTGCGCCACCACCGCCCACCCGGCTCAGAGCAAAGAGATCTTAACCCTAATCCCTGGCTTTATAGACGCTGCTTCTGTATGGGCCTGAGCTTTGGTCTAGAATGTTTTCTCTGAAGCCTTTCTTGCGCTGCTGTGCTATCATGCATTTCTGCTGCCAGCTCCTCAATGGCTTCTCGAGCCCCTCAGTCCACCCACACAATGCCTTTAATGCACCCTTCCATTTGATCACACTCTGTCCTGCTTCACAGCCCCCAGCCCCGAGCAAAGCCTCTCTGCCACGTGGTCTGCTGACACCAAGCTCCAAGCTCGGGTCACTGCAGGACTCTATCAGGGCTTGGCAAGTGTTTCTGTCCTACCCTGTTCCAAAATGGCTGTCCTGGGCACACCTTCTGGAAGGTCCCAGGCTCCTGCTCCCCCTCACACGATCATTTGTTTTGTGCTACAGTATCTGTTCCAGCACCTGCCCTTTTCACAGGGCACAGAACCCACCATGTGCCACGTCAACATTCAGAGCTCAGTTTTCTGAAGGCTGTACACAGCCAGCCAGCGTCTCCTTCAGGAACACCAGAGACCAACCACAGGCCAGCTTTCACACTGTTTTCATTCTCTGGCTTGTCTGGCATACTGATTGGCCTTGCTTCCCAAGGCTTCTCTCACTGGATCCCAGCTATTGGCAGCCCTTTGCTCAGGCCAGGTCCAAAGTTATAGAAGAGAACAAAGGCAGCCAAGCCACTGCTTCTGGGAAACATACAACAAAATGAGAAATGCTGTCTTTGTGTGTGTATAATTTTAAAAAGGAACTAGGGCGACACAAGCACTTGGGAGGCTAAGGCCAGAGATGTTGCCAGCCTCGATGATGAAATAAGCTCTGGACCAGCCTGGGCTACAGAGACAGACCTCGTCTCTAGAGATCACAAGCGTAAAAGAACAGTGTGGGATTAAGGGCCAAGCAAGGCCCAGCGACTGGGCAAAGCCAGGCTCAGAGCTCCCATGTGGCCTGGAGAACCCAAGTCTCATCTACCTCCTTTGTAAAATCAGGACGACAGGGAGCTGGCAAACAGCCGGGAGGCTGAGACCAAATGCAGGCTCAGCATTTCCCCACAGCTGGTAACTGTTAATAATCTCAGACTGGGCATGTTCAAATTAATTTCTTCCATATTAGTCAGTCCTGGCTCTTATACAAAGGGACTCTTCCTTGTGTCAATGTGCAGCTGCCTCCAGAGAAAACCAACATTTCACAATGCCTAGGACCTGCCTCTCCAACAGACGCTGGGTCTCCATTCTGTCCAGACTGTGGTAAACTGAAGGACGTACACCACTTGAGTTGCATGTGGTCTTATTTGGGATTTTCACAACCCTCAGCGCAAGAGACGCCCACCACTGATTCTCAGACTCACAGTACCCACCCTCAGAACACAGCCTCACACTCAGTAAGCGAAATTCAGGGAGGGTCATGGCTTGAAGGGAGGCACCAGCAAACAGGTAAGGGCTGGACAGTCTTGGCAGCAACCTCCAGACAAGAGGGCAGACAGGGAGGTGGAAGTGGGACAAAGGGCTGAGGTTCTGCAGGGAGATGGCAGAAGGCTGAGTAGCAGAGCTAGCTATGAACTCTTCTGACAGGAACCAGGAGGCCATGAGGCGTACAGAGGAGACAGAAAAGGGCTGGGTCAGAGTGGGATGTTCACATCAGACATTTCACAGGTAATGTCAATATTGATGACTGCAAGGTCCAGAGAGACCATCTGTTATCAGGAGCTCTCAAGTCCTATAGTACACTGTCTGTTGGGAACAATATCAGCCTGCAACCACCAGACCACTGTTTAGGACACTTGCCTTCTGAATTTAATCCTGCTGCCTCAGCCCCAGTCCCTCTGCTGCACTGGAGCGGGGTGAGGGGTGGGGGCTGCCTACCGGTGCTGTGTCTCAGGGCGATAGAAATAGTCCACTGGGGTGTCGAGCCGGGAGAAGATGGGTGGGGGGATGTAAAGTGGCAGCTCCTGGTGGAAGAACTCCTCCTTCTCGGGTTTGCGCATGAGCACTCTGTCATACATGGACACATGCTTGCCACCCGCTTCCGTGTGCACTGCCAAGTACTGAAAGTCAGACATTCCTGGAAAGACAGAAGAACAGATGGCAGACTCACTCCGGTCCTGGCACTGCTGTGAAGACACTCAAGTCCTTTTAGGAAGGGGCTGGATGAGCTGTGCAGCACCCTTCTGATGGGTGCTCAAATTAGTAGAGTAAGAATGGCTTAAGGGGAGGACAGCAGATAAAGTCCAGGGAGCTAATTCATAAAACAGTGTGCCCCTGCTGATCCAGGGCCAGAGCAACAGTGCGCTGGCTCATTAGAGAGAAATACAGCTGTGACCCATCAGGAGTCCCCTCCTCCTGGAAGGACAATCCTCATGGCGAACAAGTACTACCAGGAGCCTGCATCCAGGCCCAGCCCCAGGGACTCTAGGTCTAGGTCCTGCTCTTCTTTCCCTTGTTTTATGTTTGAGACACAATCTTACTGGAATCCAGGCTGGCCTCAAACTCCTCCCCCTCCTTTTTTCTCTTTGGATTTCCCTTTTCTTTTCTTAACCATTTAGTTTCTTCAGATTCTTCCTTAGGGCAGCAGCTGTAAACAGCTGTGTCTAAGGTGTGCTGATCGTGCACCAAGCACCTCCCACATGACTCTAACAGACACCATCGCTGGCAATCTTGTCCAGGGCCAGGGCACCGACAAGAGGCTGAGGCAAAGGGATGCTAGGGCACCTGCCTAAAGAAACTGGTGAGTGGGGGACAGTGGATAAGAACAAATACAATGCTACACATGTAGGAGTATGTCACAGCGAAACCCACTACTTTATATGCTAACTTAAAAACTGGACAACAAACTGTTAGGGCTCATCAGGCATAATTCCAAAGTGAATGCTCTTTGGCTTTGTCTTTCCTGCCTTCCTGCTTTCTCCTTACAGTTCCCTGGAAGGAGCAATTCTGCATGAGGATCCTACACTAGGCGTCCAGTTCAAAGAAGCATGAGGTGCCAAGGGACCCACATCAGCCAGGGAAGTTTCAGAGGATGAAACTAGCAGCAGTCAAAACTTGACAGGGGAGCCAGGCAGGATCACAGTCCTATAATCTGGGGGCTAGAACAGAGGTTCATTGGGCTTAGAGTTTAAGGCCAGCTTGGGAGAAGGCTCCAAAACATTGGTGTCTCAGACTGGAGAGCTGATCACTGGTCTGATCTAGCACCACACAATGGTTTATCTTAAAAATGGAAAGATTCTCACAGAACTCAATAGATTCCTACCTTCTCTTAAGGGGTTAAGAGCAAGGAACCAAATCTAGTTCCCACATCAATGACTCACAGCTGCCTGTAATTCCGGCTCCAGGGTATTGGACACTGTCTTTAGACATCTACAGACACTTAATACACATGCACCATATATGCACATAAAAAATAGAAAATAAACACTTAAAAAGAGCCAGAAAGCCAGATGTGGTGGCACATGCCTTTAATCCCAACACTCAGGAGGTAGAGGCAGGCAGATCTTTGTGAGTCCCAGGCCAGCCTGGCCTACACAGAGAGCTCCAAGACACCCAGGTCTATGCAGAGAGACCCTGTGTGCCGGTTAATACAAGTTAACTTAATACAAGTTACAGTCATCTGAGAGGAGGGAGCTTCAATTGAGAAAATGCTTCCATAAGATCGGGCTGTAAGCAGATAAGCCCACATGGCATTTTCTTAGTTAGTGATTGATGCGGGAGGGCCCAGCCCACTGTGGGCTGGTGGTCCTGGATTCTGTAAGAGAGCACGCTGAACAAACCATGAGGAGCAAGCCAATAAGCAGCATCACTCCCTGGCCTCTGTATCGCTCCTGCCTCCAGGTTCCTGCCCTGCTTAAGTTCCTTGCCTAACTGCTTTGGATGGAACTGTGAGTGAAATAAATAAACCCTTTTCTCCCCAAGTTGCTTTTAGTGATAGGGTTTCATCATAGCAATAGTAACCCTAACTAGGACACTCTGTCTGAGAGAGAGATGAATAAAAGGTTGGAAGGCAGTATATCCACAATCTGTAAGGGGCTGTTAACTGGAAAAGGGAAAGGCTGTCTCCACAATGGGCAACGGCTCTCCCTCAGGCATGGGCATACCCTACCCCACTTTCCATGTGGCTCCGTATCAGGCCCTGAAATCACCCGGTAGCAATACAGATGTCAAAGTTACCCTGGAATTTATAAATTGTGGAGATGATGCCAAGGATTTCCAAGTCGAATGTGACCTGGGGTTGGGTCTCAGCCCCCGGGGCAGCTCTCCGCCGTCTGGTCCTTTTCCTGATCCGGAGCAGCATGCTGCTGGTACTGAAACGGTTAGCGCACACAGGGTGGCAGTATGGGTCCTTGGGCCGGAAGTAGAGCTCAAGCCTCTTGGAAGGGTCAGTGTAGATCTGTAGCAATACCAAGGGAGACATGGGAGCGGTAAGCACCTTAGCACCCAGCAGAGCACTGTGCCTCTTCCCACAAAGCCCAGGAAGGCCAGGTGGCCCTTCTACTTCTAGCTCTTCCTTCCACAGAACTCATTTTTAAACCCACGTTTCTCAGTGTTTAGACAGTACAGAAAAGGAAGTCAGTCTCAATAGGTTATAAAGTGAGACAATTAAGGTATCATCTATCAATGCAAGGCACAAAAGGACTCTCATAGCTCATCATACGCAGGCTTACCATCCTGTTTACTTCAGAGCTGACAGAAGCTTTCATAACTGACTAGGGAGGGCTACCCATGCCAAAAACTACTAGCCTGCTCCAGGATCCAATCGGCAGTCAGTCTCACAAGCAGGTGCTTCTAGATCCACAGGGGGCTACAAGAGGTTAATAATCATTCTGACAGTCACCGCTTATTACTTATAGTCCTCCAGGCCCCAGATGTCTTCTTATAAAAGCAAAACAAGCAAGCAAAATACAACAACAAAAAGTCCTAAGAATAGTGTCTTACTGTTACATGATACTGTTACACGGATTAAATTGAAATAGTGGAGCCTAAACCATGGTAAGCACCCAGCCCCTGCCACCTACATGTGAACAAATGCTTGCCCCGCATTTGGTAAGAGGCACACAACGAGTGTCAACTCTGCGTGTTTGCACCAAGAATGTGCAATGGCTTGAGGTCACCCACAAGTTCAACTCTTAACTCCCAATACTCAGGACAGGGCGCCTTCACGAAGTGCTCAGGAGCAACCTAGAGAAAAGATGGAAGCTAAAAGCCTGGGTGCTGGAGGGATGGCTTAGAGGCTAAGAGCATCTGTTGCTGTTCCAGAGGACTGGAGTTTGGTTCCCAGAACCCAGTGCACAACCACCTGTAATCAAAGCTCTAAGGGACCCAACACCCTCTTCTGGCTTTCAGAGTCACCTGCAAACACAACTGAAAATAAGGTTTAACTCTTAAAAAAGAAAAGCAGCAGCCGGGCAGTGGTGGCACACGCCTTTAATCCCAGCACTTGGGAGGCAGAGGCAGGTGGATCTCTGTGAGTTCGAGGCCAGCCTGGTCTACAAGAGCTAGTTCCAGGACAGGCTCCAAAAACCACAGAGAAACCCTGT